GGGATTGACTTCAGGCTGGATGGCAAGGCCTCGTGGGGCGTGCTGCGTGGGCGACTGGGGCGCCTGGCTGTGAAGGCGTCGCGCTACATGCAGCTCCGACGTGCTGGTGCCAAGCTGGGCTCGGTTTTCAGGTGCAGCGGCCTGGCGACCATCCTCCACGGTGCCCGCGTTAGGGGTGTGCCGACCAAGGTCCTTGACAAGGCCAGGACCATCAACGGCCAGGCCATCTCGGGGGCGTGCGGCAAGCGGTGCAGGACGCTGCAGTTCGCGGTTCAGCCTGGGACGGGATGGCGCCGCGACCCCGCCTACGCGGCCAATGGATTGCCGCTGCTGGGGTGGGCCAAGGCGGTGTTCCAACGGGCCAGGCCCGCGAGCAGCATGGGCACCGTGTTCAGCGCTGCTCAGCCTGCCCATTGGGGCCAGGTTACGGGGCCTGCTGGGGCTGTGCGCCTCAGCCTCGCTCGCATTGGCTGGCAAGCGGAGAGCTGGCACGTCTGGATCACCGACAGGGGCGAGCGCCTCGACTTGATGGTGCACAGCCCGAAGCTGATCGGGGTGTGGGTCGAGCGGGGCGTGCACAGGGCGCTGATGAGGAAGGTGCCTGCCCATTTTCACGACCAGCTGGGGGGGCCGCCCACTATGTACCCCGTCCGCGCAGCGCTGGACCTGATCAGGGGGCTGGGCGACGCGGAGCAGACGGCGCTGGTGGAGAGCCTCGTGTGCGGGGGCCTCGTCTCGCAGTGCAACCTCTACGACGAGCGGGCGGCCGTCTCCTCCGACTGTCAGTGGTGCGGCTACGGCATGGGCACTCACCACCACAGACTGTTCTGCTGCGAGGGGACGGCAACGGTGGCGCGCGACATGGGCCTGGCTGCTGTGCGCGCCGCAGGCGCTGCTGCGGAGGTCACGGACATGGGCTTCGTGCGGTGCCTCGTCCCGCTCGGGCTGGAGCTGGCGCCGCAGCCGGCTGCGGCGGAGCGGAGCCTGCGCGCGGGAGCCCTTCAGCGGGCTGGGTTTTCGGGTACCGTGTGCATCGACGGCTCAGCCTTCTTCCCGCAGCTGGTGGAGATCACTCGCACTGGCTGGGCTGGTATCATGGTCACCACCGACGGCCGTGTGACTGGCGGCGTGCTGGGGACGGTGCCAGGCCTGATACAGGAGATCGGGTTTGCCGAGCTGTACGCGCTGCTGGTGGTCTTGCGAGAGGCCGACGGCGACCTGGAGATCATCACGGACTGCAGGAACGTGGTGGACGACTACGAGAAGGGCGAGCGGTGGTGCACCAGCCCAGAGTCCAGGTACGCGGAGCTCTGGCGCGAGGTGTGGACGCGAGCCCGCGACATGCCTGGATCGCTGGTCATCCGCTGGACCCGTGCCCACACCAGCTGGGCTGCGGCGGAGGCGGCTGGCGTGCCAGCCCACTGGCACATCGGCAACCAGGAGGCCGACAAGCGCGCCAAAGAGGGCGCCAGGCTGCACTGGGACTTCGAGGAGGCGGAGGTGCTCGCCACCCGTGTGAGCTCGGCGGCGGAGGCGAGCAAGCAGCTCCTCCGCCATCACGGCGCCGTTTTGAAAAGGGTCGCTGGCGCGGGCTGGCCCGATCGGAGTCCTCTGCCCCGTCCCTGCCCCCAGCAGGTCCTTTCCCTCGTGGCGAACCCTAATGGGCACGTCTTGGGCCGTCTTGGGAGGACCTGGGGATGTGGCATATGTGGGGTAAGGAATGGGCTCCGATCTCGTATAGTCTGCCACCCGTGTCCTGGAGTGCCTAGGCCTGCGGCGATCGCCCATCCCTCCCATAGGCTGTGGGTTGTTCGACGCGGGCGTGGGACGGGTGGGGGGGACGGTCGGGGCCTTGGGGGGGACGAGGCGATCGTCTTCTGTAAGCTCTGCGGGGCATATGCCCGTCGGCAGACCCTTCTGTTGGCCGCGCCCTGCCGTCCCTGGTCCAGTCGTCCCAGGGACTCGGTCCGCCTGGGGAAGCTCGCCCTGGACCGTCTCCGTGCTGGTCGGGAACCCCAGGGCGACGTTTTCTGGGGGCACCCGTTTCCGCTCGCCCGTGGGTCGGCCCCTGGTCCGAAAGCGGTCGAGGGTGCCGTGCTGAATGTTTTGAGGGCACCGCCAGCCCTGGGTGGCGGTGCCGCGCCCGTTTTCTTGGTGCCCCGAGGTTCTGAGGTGTCGTGGCCTTGACTTCGGAGGCGGGTCCTGCCACTGAGCAGGTGAGCGAGTCTTGGCAGAGCTGGACTCGCTTGGTAGGATACCAGAGGATACCAGAGGAGGAGGAGGAGGAGGAGGAGGAGGAGGAGGAGGAGGAGGAGGAGGAGGAGGAGGAGGAGGAGGAGAAGGAGGAGGAGGAGGAGGAGGAGGAGGGGTGATACAGTCGGTCGATCGGGTGAGGCCGACTCCTGCGGCGTTTCCGCGCTCCGCGCACCAGAGGGTCAGGAGGTCCGAGGGGAAGCCTCCTGCGGCAGCGCCTCTGCCACCCATCCCCTGGGCGCTCGGGCCAACGCTTGGGGGGAGGAGAGAAGAGGGAGGCGAGATGGGGGAGGGAAGCGCAGCCAACAGTGAGGGTGGGAAGCCGATTCAGGGAGATATGGTGGAGGAACAGGTCGTAGGGTCATAGTCCTTCTCCTTTTCTTCATCAATCTCTCTCCTCCTCCGCCTCCTCCTCCTCCTCACCGGCTGTCGTGCCCAAATGGGTGCGGCACTCGCCCGGCTGACAGGGAGTGACCTGCCTGCCTTCGTGGAGAGGCGATTCGAACCGATCCTCAGCTTCATGCTTCCTCCTCCTCCTCCTCCTCCTCCTCCTCCTCCTCCTCCTCCTCCTCTTCCTCTTGTTGCTAAGATGCCCGAAAAGCGTTAACACTTGCCTCCTCCTTCCTCTTCTTCTTGAGAAGTCCAAGACCTCGATTTTCTATCCTGGATCCTCATCCTCCTCCTCCTGGAGGGATGGGGCGCCCCTCTCCCCAACCACGGCCTGAAGAGTCGCGGGAGGTGCCGGTCGCGGCGTCGGTTCCAGGCGTGCCGCCGGAGCCGCTCCCGTGGCCGCCGACCATGGCCGCAAATTCCTGGTGGCGGGCCCATGGAGGCTCCACGATCGGAGGGAGAGAGGAGGAGGAGGAGGAGGAGGAGGAGGAGGAGGAGGAGGAGGAGGAGGAGGAGGAGGAGGAGGAGGAGGAGGAGGAGGAGGGAGGAGGAGGAGGGAGGAGGAGGAGGAGGAGGAGAGGAGGAGGAGGAGAGGAGGAGAGAGGAGGAGGAGGAGGAGGAGGAGGATGAGAAGGAGGAGGAGGAGGAGGAGGAGGAGGAGGAGGAGAGGAGGAGGAGGAGGGAGGTCGGAGGAGGAGGAGGAGGAGGAGGAGGAGGAGGAGGAGGAGGAGGAGGAGGAGGAGGAGGAGGAGGAGGAGAGGAGCAGGAGGAGGAGGAGGAGGAGAGGAGCAGGAGCAGGAGGGGAGGAGGAGGAGGGGAGGAGGAGAGGAGGAGAGGGAGAGGAGGATACGAGGAGGAGAAAGGGAGGAGGAGGAGGAGGAGGGAGGAGGGAGGAGGAGGACGAGGAGGAGGAGGAGGAGGAGGAGGAGGATACGAGGAGGCGGAGGAGGCGGAATATCAGGAGGAGGAGCAGGAAGGAGGAGGAGGAGGAGGACGAGGAGGAGGAGGAGGAGAGGAGAGAAGAGGAAGAGGAGGAGGAGGAGGAGGAGGAGGAGGAGGAGGGAGGAGGAGGAGGGAGCAGAGGAGGGAGGAGGAGGAGGAGATGCGTGGAGGAAGAGGTGGAGGAAGAGGAGGAGGAGGGAGGAGGCGGAGGAGGAGGATGAGGAGGAGGAGGAGGGGAGGCGGAGGAGGAGGAGGAGGAGGAGAGGAGGGGAGGAGGAGGAGGAGGAGGAGGAGGGGAGGAGAAGGAGGAGGAGGAGGAGGATGCGAGGAGGCGGAGGAGAAGGAATATGAGGAGGAGGGAGGCGAGGAGGAGGAGGATATGGAGGATGAGGATGATGATGATGATGATGATGATGATGATGAGGAGGAGGAGGAGGAGGAGGAGGAGGAGGAGGAGGATGCGGCGTGGATGAAGAGGTGGAGGAAGATGAGGAGGATGAGGAGGAGGAGGAGGAAGAGGAGGATGATGAGGAGGAGGAGGATGCGAGGAGAAGGAGGAGGATGCGAGGAGAAGGAGGAGGATGCATGGAGGAGGAGGAGGAGGAGGAAAAGAAGGAGGCGAACTCCACCCTTCGATGTCATGATGTGTTATGTTGTTTGTTCTTTTCCTTCATCTTACCAATATTCTCCTAAGAGCCGGTGATTATAATCACGAAGCTCTCCATTTTGATCAACCCCACGAGGCCAACCGGCCCTGAGGGGGGGAGGCTGCGATCATGGATGCCTTCAGCCGTCAGGAATCAGGAATCAGGATTCAGGAGGAGAAGGAAGAAGAGGAGGAGGAGGAGGAGGAGGAGGGCAAGGTGGAGGAGGAGCTTAAATGAGGGAGGAAGAGGACGAGGACGAGAGAGAAAGGACGGTGAGGGATGGATGGAGGAGCATGAGGAGGCGGGACTAGTGAGAGCAGGGGAAGGGTCACTGGGGGAGGGGGAGTGGGAGCAGGGGGATGAGCAGGAACAGGAGGAGCAGAGGGGGGAGGATGCGTGGGAGGGGAGCCGAGCAGAAGGAGGGTAATGGTGAGGAGCAGCCCTGCGGGCAAGATGCGACTGTCGTGAACTAGTGTGCTTACTATCCGCCTCCGCCTCCGCCTCCTCCTCCTCCTCCTCCTCCTCCACCTCCTCCTCCTCCTCCTCCTCCTCCTCCCCTCCTCCTCCGCCTCCTCCTCCTCCTCCGCCTCCTCCTCCGCCACGCTTGCTTGCGCAACCGCCCGCGCGAGACGCGGCTGGGGCCCAATAGCCCTCCCGATGCTGCAGCATCCAACAGATGAGGCACAAGGCGGCAACGCGCCGCTGGAGTGCTGAGCTCAACTGGGAGCCCCACCGCTTGCTTGTGCCCCTGCCCGCGCGAGAAGCCGCTTAGACCCGAATGTCCTCCCTGTCCAGGACGCCGTCCTTGTTCAGGTCGAACTCTGCTATCATGTCTACGTAGAACCTGCTGCAAAGAGGGGGCACCAAGCGCTGGAGGCGCACGCGGTACGCGCGTACGCACGTTCGTGTATGTGTGTCTGTGTGCTTATGCTTTGGCCATTTCGGATCGCTCACAATGCTATTGCATCGCAATCGTTGGCGGCTTTCTATAACAATCCATCGAATAATTTGATCTATATGTCAGCCGCAACCGGATATAGACCGCCTGAATTCCGATCGAAATAGCCGCTGACAAACAAACAGTGTGGTGCGTCCGTTTGCGGGCGCGTCTGCTGTGCCTACTTCTGCGTTCCAGTGAGGGTGGGGTGATGGGCAACGAGACTAGGCTTGCTACCCTCCTTCTATACATGGTTCATAGCGGGAATCGGGGGAGGGACACGGCCGTGGGAAAGATGAGTTGGAGTGAAAGACGTGGATCATGCCGCTTCCACAAAATCAACAACTGTCACCACGAGCGCTTGCGCCAATTCCCTCCGCAAGGGGGCCCTTGATTGCTCCAACCCATCCCCAAGAGAAGTCAAGACCAAATCGCAAGAAACCACCACACGGCCCCGTGCCCTCCCGAGAAAGCTCAAAGACCTCTGCGGATGGTACAGGATCTCCCAGGACGATCTGGCCCCAAGGGGCCCTAGCGTGTCCCCAGGAGGCAGGACGCCCTTGGGCATGCCCCTCGCAATCCAGAAACATTCGTGGCACCGCACGACGCAGAACCAGACGGCACGGCAAGGCGCCACCGATGCCACTGATCTCCCTGGCACGGTATATCCCGCGCGGAGATATCACAATCCCGACGGGCTCCACAGGCAGCCGGGACACCACGGGCACCATGGGAAACACATGCGCCAGCGACACCGCAAGAATCGCGGTGCCTCGCGGTGCTCATTTTGCGACCCCGACGGCACGTGTCACGACGTCGGTGGCACACAACACCGCACGGCACGGCACAACGGCGGCACTGCGCGGCACGCAGCCAATTCATGCATTGGGCGGCGCATGGCGGCACATCGCACAACACCGCGGCGGCGCATTTCACCAACTCGCATTTTGGGCGACAGCTGGCGCCACATGGCCCAGCCAACTGCCTGCACACGCCGCCCGCGCAAATTTGGACGACACACGGCACCACGAGGCACGGCACGGCACGACACCGAGGCACAGCACCGAGTGCCTTTCTCGCGGCGCGCGGCACGGCACCGCCTGGCGCGGGACCGCGGCGCAGCACCGAACGCACGCTCTTCGGGGCCACGCGCGGAACCACGCGGCACGGCACGACGCCCGCACTTTTTTTGTCGCGGCGCCGGCGGCCGCGACGTCGTTCCCTCCGGCAGGCCCGTGAGGGCTGGTCCTGGCCGCGTCCCTGCCGCAGGGGGGAGCATACAGGGCGGGGCCGGGGGCAGCGCCCTCTGCCAGAGCCAAAAGCTCCTCGGGGTCCGCATCGGCGGGCCCCTGGCGGCAAGAAGGCGAGGGGACCGACGATCCTTCGCCCGAGTCGGCGGCTGCGCGCGCAGCGACACCAGGCTACATGTCCTCTCGAGCTGCCGAGCTGGTGCTTGGAGCCGTGCCCTGGTAGGGCAGGGTGCTGCCTCTCTGCGGGGTGCCTGTCATTTCTGTCTCTCTCTCTCTCTCTCTCTCTCTCTTCGCTCTGCCCGTTTGCGGCCTCGCCCTCGGTAGGGCCGCGGTTTCCAGTGACGACGACGTGACGACGGAGAATGCATGCAGTGCGACAGAAAATCGCGTTGACGGGAGTTAGCGGTCGGAGGCGCCACGCCACTGGAACCCTGACGGACTCCGCGGAGCGTTTTTGTTTTGTTTTGTTTTGTGTGTGTGTGTGTGTGTGTTTGGGTGTGTGTGTGTGTGTGCTTGTGTGTATGTGTGTGTGTGTGCTTGTGTGTATGTGTGTGTGTGTGTGTCCACCTGCCGCCTGCTCACTGTGGCAATCCGTAACAGCGGTCTCCTCCGGGTGCGGTCCTCGCACGGCTTTGCGCGTTTCTCCCCTTTCTCTCCGTCGTTCTCGGTCGGCCGCGCCGCCGTGACTGCGCGTCTCTGTCTGCGGATGCTGCCACAGTTCTCTCGCTCGCCACCCGCGCCCGGGTAACCTGTGGGCGGCTCGCCCCCTGGGGCCCCGCGTCTGGGGGCCCAGCCGCGCGCGAGCCCGCGATCGCCATACCTATATATACATTATTTTTTATTCTTATACATATATATATATATGTACATATATATATATATATACAAGACTGCATTGACGCTTCGCGCCATGCACCTTGGTCCTTCAACCCTTGCGCGCGTTGGCGTCTAGCGCGGCCCTCCACGGTCTTTGAACCGCGGTTGGTTCGCGCCCAGTTCCCGGACCTGCACCTTACTTGCTCGCGCCCTCGCTCTGCTGGTCCGCGCGCCACTGGGACTCCATGAGAATGTCCCAGCGGACCGATCAGCGGCGATGAGAGCGGCCGTGGAGGCTCCGGAAATACAAAACGTCGAACAGAAGGGGCGGGAAAGAAGTGGAGGACGATTTGGGGAGGCGCGGCGAAGGGAGGAATATCATGAGGGAAGGTAAGGTAAGGCACGCATTGGGGCGGCGTGCTGTCTCGACTTGCGCATGGGGGTGAGACAAACGGAGATGCCTTGCGATCACATATGGAAACAGACCAGGGGGCTGCGGCTCCAAGGACTGCCAGATCATGAGGAGGAAGAGGAGGAGGGAGAGGGATAATGAAGGTGCCGTCGGGGAGCGGCAAAGCAATTTGTCCGCGTCGCACCGAGAGGCGCCGCTCCAGAAACCGCCCGACCCCGCGGGCGGCCTCTGCCCGAAAGCCGAGAGCGGGGGGCCCGAGGCAGGGGCGGCAGCCGCAGCCCAGGGCCCGCGTGGCCTACGCGCCACCAGCGGCCGGCCCAGCAGCGACCTCGGCATCGCTGTCGTCGCCCGCCGCCACGTCGCTCTCGTCGCCGGCCTCCTCGTCTGGGGGGGCCGGGCCTGCGAGCCGGGAGAGCAGCTGGCTCTCCTCGCAGAAAGCGAACTGCATCCCGTAGTCCGGGAGCAGCGCTTTGTCCGCCCACTTCAGCAGGCGCTCCAGCGCAGGGGTCTTGTGGCGCTTCGTGGCCAGCTTGCGCGCCGCCGCCAGCGCCTTGGCCCGCTCGCCAGCGCACTGTCGCAGCAGGGCGGACCAGAGCTGAAGGGCGCCGGCGGTGCTGCTCTCCAGGGCGGCCACCTTCCGGACGCGCCGGCCCTTCGACGGAGCAGAAAAAAACACACCAAAAAATATGACTGCTATTCGGGTCTACATTGCTGCGCGAGAGGCTTTTTCTCCAGTGGGCGCTGATCCGGGTTCGTGCCAATTCGCGCGTTCCCCCCTGTACGGGGGAGGCGTGATCTGTATGAACAGATCCTTCAGAATTAAACGTAGGGCGGGTGGGGGGAATTTAACGCGTGTGAATGGTGTGTTTTTTACGCTCCTGACCTGTTTCCCTGGCACCCACGCCGTGGTCCCCAGGCGCTGGGAGAGCACCCGGCGCGGCCCAGACCCCGCGAGGACCACCTCTGGCGTGGTGGCGTACCGGCCGTGGTCGCTGCGCCGACTCGTCGGCTGGCGGAAGCGCAAGAAGTTCTTGGCCCGGAAGCTGCGCCAGCCAGGGCTTGCTGCAAGCACGGTGGCCAGCTCGCCCGCCGGGGCCGCCAGCAGCTTGTCCACCATGCCGCCCTTGTGCTCCAGCTCGTTCACCGCCTCCCGGAATCGCCGGCTATTGGCGGCGATCTTCCTGAGCTCGGAGGCAGCCTGCGGCGGGCGTCAGAATGGCCCGCGCGAGCTGGGGCGAACGGGGGGCGAAGGAAATTTTGGGGCATGGGAAAATAATAATAACACGTGCGTGGAAAAACTGCCCCTGACGAGTGTGGAACACATCCGCCGTGTCGTTGCGAAAGGCAAGTGCTGTTATAGAAAAACATTGTCGCATGGCTGGGGATTCTTCCGAGGCCCGGGGCCTTCCGGGCAGACAACTTTTTCAACCTTGAGTGGGCGAGGACCCACGGGTTGAAGCTCGTTCCCACCAAGTCTGCCGGGTGGCCCGTGTGCGCGGCGAGCACGGCGCCCACCTTGGAGGTCACGCCCTTTTTCGTGGCAATGTCCTCGACGCTCTCCTGCAAGATCTTCAGGGCCACTGGGCTGTGGAGGAACTCCATAACCAGCGCGAGGGGGTCGCGTGCCTGGTACGGGGCCTGGCCCAGAATGGTCGTGATTGCTCTCGACGTCTTGTCAGCCATCTCCAAGCACACCTTTTCGTGTTCTATGGTTTTGACGAAAATGTCCGGTTGCCCCGACGTCTCGTCTCCGGCGGCGTCGTTGTACGAAGCCCAGTCGTCCCACGACACGGACGCCGACCGCCAGTCGTTGATGGCCGGAAGAAGGGCCTCGTGAAGGGCATGTGGAAGGGAGGAAATGGAGAAGGAAAATAAGGAATATGAGGAGCGAGGGGGGAAAGGACGAGGAGGAGGAAGAGGAGGAACAGGAAGAGATGCAGACCAATAACGAATGCCTTCAACTCTGCTGGGCTCAGCGTTGCCATGTGCACGTCCGTGCCCGGCACGAGTTCATTGCTCGGCTGCAGGTCGCGCCAAAATGGCGGAAGGTGGCATTTCGATAAAGTGCCTTTGAAAAGGCTGTCGCGCACGAGTTGGCGCGTGCAGCGCACGAGCCAAAAGGAAGACCAGAAGGCCTCCATTGGGCTTGGGCCAAAGTGGCTACACCAGGGGAGGAGGATAAGGAGGGAGGAGTGAAATCGTTTGGGGGCGACCTTCGCTGCCAGGGGAGGGGAAAAGCATTCCTGCAGGCTTTCACGAAGCCTCGATCCTGGAAAAACGTGCCCCCCGTGCCTGGCTTGGGCGAGGCGCAGGAATTGCAAACCCGCGTAGTGCTGCGTGCTTTGAGGTGCCTCGCGTCGAAGTGGGTCCTGTCCCAGAGCTCTCCGCAGCGCGTGCAGGAAAAGAGGTCTTGCTTCGGACGGCCGTCAGTGGCGCGCGCCTTGCGCGTCCGAGTGGATCGGTGCAGCTGGCAAGGGCTGAAGTGAGTTCGATCGTGCATGTCCCCGCAACGAGTGCATTGATAGTCTTTGTGTTGGGGGGCTGACCGTGACTGTGTTTCCCGTCGACTGGCACACGACTTGCAAGCCCGATTGGACTGCTGAAGTTGTGTTGTGGAGAATGATTCTGCAGGCAGGGTCTCGCCACAATCGAAGCAAGCGAATACAGACATCGAGGATGTGCCGTATGCGACAGCTTAAAAATGTAAGCCAACGGCTACGGATGCATGTGTGCGAACACGTGTGGAAAACAATGTTTCCTTAATGACTTGGAAGGGCCCTCGTGAAACCTCCATGGAACGATTATTCTGGGATGCGATAGGGCATAGGGCAGCAAGCATGCAGGCAACGTACCGGATCCTGGAAATGCTAAGGACATCTACCGAATTCCGGGGAAATGTGCCGAATCCCGGGTTCGCAGCCGATTTCCCGGGAATTTGGTTGCGAACCCGGGATTTCAAGCATTTTGGTGTTTTGCGTGGGATGCCACTGTCTGGCAAACAACGGAGCAGCGCAGCGAAGCCGTTCCGGAGGTGGCGGTCAAGTGGGGCGATTCAGCAGTTTTGAAGCCTCTTGGGGGGCCGTTTTGGCTGCCTTTTGGAGAGCCATTTTGGGGCCTCGTGGGTTCTTTTTGGGAGTCCTCGGGGCCTTTGGAAGCCTCTTGGGGCCTCTTGGGGCCCTCCTGGGGCCTCCTGGGGCCCACTTGGGGCGGAAAGTTAGATGTTTGAACTTTTGATCGCCCTGTGGGGGCTCGTTTGAAGCTTTCTCGGGGCCCTCTTGGGCCTTCTTGGGCGCCTCTTGGGCTGTTTCGGGGCGCTCCAGAGCCGTCTTGGGGCCGTGTTGGGGCCGTATTGGGGGCCCCCCGGGCCATCTTGGGGCGCTCTTGAGGGCCTCTAGTTCTGTCTTGGAGCGTCGGAAAGCTAAAATGGCGAGAAAGCAGAAAACATCGAAAAACACATTGGAAAATTGACCATTTCGGCCTCCCGGGGCCGTCTTGGGGGGCTTCTTTGGGGCCGCTTGGGGCGTCTTGGGGGCTCCTGAGGCTGTCTTGGGGCTATCTTTGGCGTCTTGGAGCGCTTTGTGCCTGTCTTGGAGCGCTCTTGAGGCACTCGGGACCGCTTCAATGGGCGTCCGGAGGGTCCCAAAGTCCCAGGATCCCAGGAGTCCGGTTTGGGGGGGGGGGGGGGGTGCGGGGTTTTGCGGCCGCCCGGGCTTGTAAAAATATAGGAAGAGGAATATATATATATATATATATATATATATATATATAATATATATATAATATATATATATATATATATATATATATATAAATATATACTAGAACCACGCGCGCGCGCTTCGCGCGCGCTTAGGTTCTAGCCGCGCCCCTGGAATTCGCATCATAAAGTGCGCATGTCCCAGTGAGGGATGCGACGGCGTGGAGGTCCAAGCCCGTGTGAACGCGGGCGATCGCGGGCATCGCGGCGATGGTCCAAGACGAGAAGGTGTCACATGTGACGGCTCTCCTCGTCCTCCTCCTCCTCATCCCCCTCTTCCCCCTCCTCATCCTCCTCATCCGGGCGCGGTGGCGGGACTTGCCGCAGGCAGCTGGATATCTACACCTGGTGCTACTGGAATTCCCGGGCGCCCCTCTCGGGGCGAGGGCGAGCCAATGTCCTGTCCGAAGCCTCTTGAAACCAGTTTCGGTGCCTGTTGGGGGCCGTTTGGATGTTTTTTTGCTGCCTCTCGGGAGCCTCTTGGCAGCTTCTTGGGGGTCTCTTGGGGCGTCCTGGGGCTCTCTTGGGGCCTCCTGGGACCTCTTGGGGCCGAGGGCTCGAAAAGTCCGTTCGGATCCCGCGTTTGGGCCCCTTCTTGGAGCCGTCTTGGGGAACTCTTGGGCCGTCATGGGGGCCTCTTGGATCGTCTTGGGGTTGTCTTTGGCCGTCTTGGGAGCGTCTCAGGCCGTCTTGGGGCGGTCTTTGGGGCCTCTTGGGCGGTCTTGGAGCGTCCGGTCGCCGAAAAGGCGAGAATCCAAAAAACCTTCAAAAACCATAGAAAAAATCAATGAATTTTGCCTCTTGGAGCCCTCTTGGGACGCCTCTTGGAGGCCTCTTGGCGCGTTTTGGAGGCCACTTAAGCCGTTTTGGGATCATCGTGGGCGTCTTGGAGCGATCTTTGGGCGTCTCGTGGCCTTCTTGGACCATCTGGGGGGCCTCCTGGGCCCGTCTCCAAGCTGTCCTGGTCCGTTTTGGGGCCGTCTGGGAGCCCCTGGGGACGGCCAGGGGAGGGAACCACGCATATACAAGGGGGGTCGCTACCCGGGGCTCGGGGCCCGGGATCTCCCATATATGTATATCTATATGCATATCTATATCTATATCTATATATATATATATATACACAATGAAAACGTCTAGGAAGGACGCGTGGTAAGGACGCAAGACCCTTGGAGGCCGAAGTTGAAGTATTCTGGCCTGCGAAAACTGCTAGGGACGGGCCGCAGAGGCTGAGGCAGGCAAGGACCCAAGGGTACCCTTGAAAAAGTCGTTTGTCCTTGCTATGCGCGTTGACTGTACATGCATGTGTGTATGTGTACGAGTGATGCGCTGTTGATCCCCCGTGGGCGGATCCACTATCTCCACGCCGCGTGTTCTGCTCTGGGCCGGCCGCGCGCGCCTGCTCGCCCGACTCTCTCGGTACGCCGCGCCGCGGCCGCGACGCCAAACAAGCGTGTGTGTGCGCGCGTGCGTGTGCTTGTGTGCTTGTGTGCGTGTGCTTTCGCCCCCTCTTTCGGCCGCGCCCTCCTCCTCCTCCTCCTCCTCCTCCTCCTCCTCCTCCTCCTGCATGGTGGCACAATTCGCCACAACGGCATTCCCGATTGGGCCTCGCCGCTAGCGCCGCCGACGCAACAATTCAGTGTGCTTTTGCTTGTTCTCTTTCTTTTTCTGCCTGCGGAGCTGATCGGTGAGCGCACGGCGAAGCCTGAGCGGCCTGTGCCAGTGGGGCGTAGCTGGGGCCGCGGCGGAGGAGACGCTGGCGCACTCCCCTGCGGGGCGCGCGGGTGGTGGCCTCGTGGCCTCCGTGAGCGACGCGGCACCGCGTGCATTGGCCTGCATTCCGCGGCTGGGTGGTGGGGCGCGAAGCCCGCACGCTCTATTGCGCGCGAGGGCCTGCGCCGGGCTGCCGAGCGCCCTCAGGTGCCCCCTTCGGCGTGCGCGGGCGCGTGCGCGACCACCGCGGAGGGGGGAGGCTCCAACGGCGGCGGCAGAGGCGGACCCGCCGAGTCCGGGGCGGAACCGGACTCGCTTCCCGCAGGCTTCGGGCCTCTGTCTGGAGGGGCAGCCACCACCGCGCAGGCACGGGCGGGTCCCGCCTTCGGAGCTGCGCAGGTCGTGGCGTCATCGGCGCGGGCGAGCGCGGGGCCGCACCCACCGCTGTCGCCCTGCGTCTGCGTCCATCGGGAGCGCTCCAGCAGGGCGACCTGGCGCTCCAGGGCGTCCTCGCGGGCGCGGGACTGCTGCAGCGCTGACTCGGCACGCTCCAGCGCAGCGATCGCGCAGCGTGTCCTGGACGCGGCCTGATGCAGCAAGGCCAGGACATACTTGTCCTCCAGCGGCACCTTCAGGGCCTCGGCGGGCGACCCCAGCGGCGCCGCCTCCGCCTCGTGCGCAACCGCTCCTTGGGAGACGAGCTCCTCCGACAGCTGCTCTATCCTGTGCAGCCCGCGCGCCAGCGACTGCTCGACAAGGTGGACCTTGCCCTTGTAGTCGTCGCAGAGGTGGGCGATGCAGCTGGTGACCTTGTCGTCGAAGCCGCGCATCTGGACCGCGAGGTCCGCCTGCACCGTGAGCGGGTGCGCGTGGTCCCTGGAGCCACGGAGCCGCAGCAGCGCGCTGGAGAGCTCCTCCACAGAGACCACGCCCGCCTGGTGCATGTCGAGGAGGTCGAACGCCTTGTCGGGTGGCACCTGTAGCTCGATGCCGTAGATGCTCAGAAGCTGCTGGAACAGCGGATCGGGCAGCACCTGCATGAACTGCTCCCTGGTTAGGAAGAGGTGCGGCTGGTCGCACTGCTGGCAAAACGTCTCGGTGCACGCGCCGATGCGGCGCACGACCTGGTCGCGCAGCAGGCCCTGGAACGGCTGCGCCTCTATCGCCTTCAGCACGTCTCCGTCCTCGTCTCCGGTCTTCGCATTCTGCACAACGCCGTCCATGATCAGACCGATCACCAAATTCAGCAAGGCCATGTTCGTGATGATGATGTAGACAACGAAATACAGGACCCACAAAGCGCTGCTGTGCTCCATAGCCGCGTCGTTGATGTCCGGCCACGCCTCCAACGTCATCAGCTTGAAGTGGGAGTACATGCTGACCCAGACTGAGCTGAAGTAGCCACTCAAGGTCGGGTCTTCGTTATTCCCGAGCATCGCCGCGCAGATGAGGGCGCCTATGTAAATCACCACCAGCAGGAGCACGAAGATCCAAAAGACGGAGCGAAGCGCCCTTGTGAAACCTGCGACGAGCAGCTGCAAATCCTTGGACACCTTGAGCAAACGCACAATGCGCACCAACCGGAGCAGCTGCAGGATACGGAACACGGTCATGGCGTCAAGGCCGTCGGTTGACTGATCGTTTGCGATGCGGGTTAGCGGCGCGATCACCCAAAGGTCCACGACACCGATCAAAACCACGCAAATGTCAAAAAAATTGTCCCACCGGAACGCGTCCTGAACGCCCCTCAACGTGCGCACCGGCTTCCACAGGAAGCCGGTCAGGCCGTCGGCGAGGAGGTGGAGAGACATCTCGACGACAAACGCGAAGACGAACCCACACTGGATGAAGTAGAGGCCGAGGACCACGGTCGACTTTGAGCCCCAGATCAGCTCGGCCTCCACGTGCAGGCCGATCACGAGGGCGTTCAGGACGATGGACACGCCGAACACCATCTGGCCCTGGTCGCTGTGGATCCACGGCCCCTGGTGCCTGTCGAACTCTTCGTCCTCTGCTGGATTCCTGGCCGCGAGGTACATGTCGTCCCTGTGGTAGCTGGCGAGTCTGCAGGGAGTCACTTCTCGTGCCGGCAGGAGGTCCCCGGAGGGCCGCGCCGCCGCCTCCGCCATCGCCGCAGCACCTGCGCCCAGCCCGCGCACGGCGTCTGGGGGAGTCTCAGCGCCCGCGCCTGGTGCCCGCCATGGAGGCGGCCTGGGGGCGGGGCGGCACGCCAGGCTGCCTGAGCCGAGAGGCCACGGCAGAACGGCACCCAAGCGTGCCGCGGCACCAAGCCACGCTCTGGGCACACGGTGCCACACGGCACCACGGTGCCGAATCGTGTCACCGCGGTACGGCAAAGCAGATGACCCCGCGCTGCACGGCTCCACGGCGTGGCGCGGGACGGCGCCATAGCATAGCACAGAGCCCCGCCAAAGCCCGAAGCAGCGCCCAACGAAAGCACGGGGCACGGCACTGCACGTCAGGCGTCCCACGAAACCACAAGGTGCGACACGGCAAATCATGCGTTCCACGAGACGACGAGGCAAGACACGGCACGTCACGCGCCCCACGAAACCACGAGGCAAGACCCGGCACGGCACGTGCCCCCCACGAAGCCACGGGGCACGACACGGCGTCCGTTCTACGGAACCAACAAACCACGACTTTCCCGCAGAGCGCGACACGGCGCGGCGCGCGCCCACCGAAACGCAATCACGAACTGGAGCGCGAATGGCCAACGTGTCACGGCACAGCACGACACGGTGGCATTGCACGGCAAGGCACGCGCCTTTCGTAACGGCATCACGGATTGGATCACTTCCGAGCTCTTCTGAATCCTCAGGAGCTTTTGCAAGAGAGTCGCTGTCCAAGGAATTGTTAACCTGATGGCCCGAGGCGGTCCCGACCAGTCCTCACAGTGCTACCCGTCCAAGACGGCCCATCGACTCCAGAAAGCACACCAACAGGCTCCAAGAGCCTCCCGAAGCGATGTTTGTCAATTAGCTTGCCACATGAACTCTTACCCGTTTTGTGTTAAAAACTGTCCAGGGTACCCTGTTGGGCCGGTTCGTCGCAGCCCAGACGTTGGCTCCTCGCGCAGATGTTGTTGGTGCTTGCTATTGCACTGTTTTGCTCAGCCTTACCTTCGTGTGCTTTCCTTTTGCGTCATCTCGCGTTGCTTCCCCTGGCTGGCTTGGAATGGTATGCAGTGAAATGCTCTGCCATGCTATGGGACGCGATGCAGTGCCATGCAGTGCTGTGCTGTGCTAGGTTGTGCAATGGGGGCAATGCTACGCTGAGAAGTGTAGTGCTACCAATGATGTGCCCTGCTATGCAGTGCTATGCTCTGCCATGATCTGTGTGCGAGACGGTGCCATGCTTTACATTCTTTGCTGCACACCCCGAAGAAAGGCCCCCAAGATGGGTCGCGCCGAATTCATTCTGAACGTAATGGCTGCTACACATCGCCGTACCACGCTGGAGGGCCGAAGGTTGCGTCCCGTGGGCTTGCGGACGACCTGCGGGCTTCCCAAGACGGCGTCTCAGCGCTCCAGGAGGCCCACCAACGGGGTCCCCGAGAGGCCCCAAGAAGCAGCGCAACAACCACGCAGCACTGTAGACACGCCGCGCTGCTGCGTTGCAGCGCCGCTTCCCGAAGCGCAGTGGCAGATATGCACGGCAGTGCTGCTGGATAGTTGCGGAGTTTGGGCACGTGCGCGGAAATAGCGTGCGCGCCTGAGTCTGTTGTCCGTCCTCTCAACGGCGGGAGCCATGTAGGTCTGCAGCTCCCTCGGCCCGATCCTGCCTTGCCTCTTGAAGTCGAACTGGTCGAAGATCTCCGCGACGCGCGTCTCGTCTGCGAGCGGGCAGCAGGGAGGGGAGAGAGGTGGGGGGGTGTTGAAGGGACCAACTTTTCGACAATGTGATTGTTCAACGCCCCCCCAGACCTCTCAAGCCATTTCCTCCCCAGGAACAATGTTTTGCCCGGGACTGTTTTCCGATGGCCCCAGGGCCCAGAGAGACGGCCACCAAGAAGACGGCGAAACGCCTCTGTGCTGACCTTCTCTTCAAGACGCTGGAAGCAGAGGGATGCCAGCCCCCCAAGCATCTGGCGCCGTGATTCTTTCACAACGTGGCCCCCAGAGGTCTGGGCCCCTTCCCGGGACCTGGCTCGTCGTCCCGAAGCGTTGTTGACGCTCCTGGAGCCCAGCGAGGGCCCCTGGAGGCCGAAAATGGAGAAGACCTGCCGTCGTGATCTCTCCACGACCCGAAGAGGCCAGGGGCCCCCTCATCGTCCATGCCTCCACGAGAGCCGTCGGGGGCACGGCACTGTGTCCAAAAACGGGCCCCCGGGGCCTGGGCCGCGACTCAGAATCCATTGCGGGGGCGCAATGGGCTCGCCTCCATTGGCGAGGCGAGCCGGCCGCCTCCATTGGCTCGTGCAAGGCAGTTGGCGCAGGGCAGGGGACAATAAGGCGAGTCCTCCCTCCTCCTCCTCCTTCTCCTCCTCCTCCTCGTCGTCTCCTCCTCCTCCTCCTCCTGCTCCTCCTCCTCCTCCTGCTCCTCCTCATCGTCCTTGCCCTCGTCCTCAGCCTCCCCCTCCTCCTCATCTGTCTTCTCCTCCTTCTCCTCCTCCTCCTCCTTCTCCTCCTCCTCGTCCTGCTCCTCCTCGTCCTCATCCGATTCTTCCTCCTCCTCCTCACCGTCACGAGCGACAGCTGGTCGGAGCGTCGGAGCGTTCAGCGGAGAGCCAGACGAAGGACGGGGTGGGCGCGGCTAAACTCGCCTGCCCTGGAGCGACGCAGTGAGGGGGCTGTGCCTTCTCCGTCCTGTGCGCAGCACAAAGAAATGAGCCCCCTCTTGTGCCTCCGAGCTGCCTTTTCCTGCATTGTGGCACAACTCGCTAAAAACGGTGTCCCCTTTTATATAGCTATTCCGCCGGCGCAGTTGCTCTGCCTAGCCGTCGACGCAAAAAGTGCCCCCGAACCTCCCAGGCTGTCGTCCAAAGCAGGTCCCACACATCAAAACAGGACAGGAGGCTCCACCACCTCCCCAGCGATACTGCCCGGCGGGCCACCCCTTGCCCAGAGAGCTGAGCCCCGACTTGAGATTCCTGCTCTGGGGGCTATCCTCAAGAATCCAAAAAACTCGCTGGCGATGTCCTCAGCAACCCTAAGGTACCCCAGCAATCCTTCAGGAGTGCCGGCGGCTTTCGGACGATTTCTGCAGTATTCCAAACTAGTGAAAGCCCATGTACTTCCCAAGGAGTCCCAAGGCCTCCATGAAACAATCCCTCAGGCTTCCTCAGGCTTTCGAAGTTTTCTGCAATAATCCTCAGGGTGCTCTCAGAACGCATTTGGACTTCCCGAATTCCACAAAGTTGGTGCCAAGAGCCCAGAGGATTCCGAAAGGAATCTGGAGGAAGTCATCTGGATTCCTGAAGAGTCTCTAGGGAGCCCCGAAAACTCCGCAGCAATGCTAACAGCTCCCCCCAATATTCCGATGGAATGCGTTAGATTTTCCGAAGATATCCGATGGAATTTCCTACGGCGCCTGTAGACCTTCCCACCGAAGCCTGAGGATCTCATAGAAAGGATCCCAGAGCTCCCAAAGATTCTCTGCGGGATCCAATGGAATCTCATCGTGCCCATTTCGCGGTGGACCCCGCTCTCCAGTGCCTCTCCGCTTCCCCCTCCCCATCCCCCTCTCCCTCCCCCTCCTCCTCCCCCCCCCCCTCCTCCTCCTACTCCTCCGCCTCCTCCTCCTCCTCCTCTTCCTCCTCCTCCGCCTCCTCCTCCTCCTCCTCGCCTCGATGCTCCAGCCGACGCGACGCAACTTCTCCGCGCGACTCTCTCGCGCGCGCGGCCCAGTTGCGGAGCGCGGGGCGACGCCCCCTGCCATTCGCGGACCGACGCCTGCCGGCGATGCGACGCCACCGCGCCGCTTTGCCGCCCGAGGGCGAGGCCCTCGCCTGGAGCGCGCCGGGTGGAGGCGCGAGGAGGAGGAGGAGGAGGAGGAGGAGGAGGAGGAGGAGGAGGAGGAGGAGGAGGAGGAGGAGGAGGAGGAGGAGGAGGAGGAGGAGGAGGAAGGGGGAGGAGGAGGAAAAGGAGGGGGGAGGAGGAGGAGAGGAGGAGGAGGAGGAGGAGGAGGAGGAGGAGGAGAAGGAAGGGGGAGGAGGAGGAGGAGGAGGACCAGTGGAAACCCAAGAGTCATCAACGATGTTGGAATCCGCCGGCCCCCTTGTGGGGCCACCAGGCTGTAGGCCCGTGATTCGCAGTTCCTGTACCAGTCGTAGGTTGTAGTTTCCAGTGTTACAGTTCTGCTTCTTGCTGGTTGCTGTAACTAATTGACTTATTGCTGGTTACTGTAACTAGTTGATTGACCGCGCGAGGGGGGGGGAGGCCCAAAGTGGCTTTTTAGCGTCCCCTGGGCGCGTTGTCTGAATTGCTGGGGGGGCTCGAAATCGACACCCCTCACGCAGATCCGCGGGGTCAGGGTCCAAAAACACATGGGATTTGCCACATTTCTGAAATTCGGTGCCACCCCTCACGCAGATCCGCGGGGTCAGGGTCCAAAAACACATGGGATTTGCCACATTCCTGAAATTCGGTGCCACCCCTCACGCAGATCCGCGGGGTCAGGGTCCAAAAACACAAGGGATTTGCCACATTTCTGAAATTCGGTGCCACCCCTCACGCAGATCCGCGGGGTCAGGGTCCAAAAACACATGGGATTTGCCACATTTCTGAAATTCGGTGCCACCCCTCACGCAGATCCGCGGGGTCAGGGTCCAAAAACACAGGGGATTTGCCACATTTCTGAAATTCGGTGCCACCCCTCACGCAGATCCGCGGGGTCAGGGTCCAAAAACACAAGGGATTTGCCACATTTCTGAAATTCGGTGCCACCCCTCACGCAGATCCGCGGGGTCAGGGTCAAAAACACAGATTTGGAAATTCGGTGCCACCCCTCATGCAGATCCGCGGGGTCAGGGTCAAAAAACAGGGGATTTGCCACATTTCTGAAATTCGGTGCCACCCCTCACGCAGATCCGCGGGGTCAGGGTCCAAAAACACAGGGGATTTGCCACATTTCTGAAATTCGGTGCCACCCTTCACGCACATCCATCGCAAGGCGTGGTAACCCAAACTGCGAGAACTCCCTCGGCCCTTTAATCGCAAGGTGTGGTAACCAAGCCCGTAAACCATACACGTCTTACCAATCGCCAGGTGTGGTAACCCCTCTTGTGATCAGTTGGTTTTGCTGATTGCGAATCGGCTTCGCATGAAGTTTCGATACTGCTTCACGACAGCGCCAAGGCCTCATGACTTAGCTCTTCCATGGCCCATTCTCCGAGAGAGGGGGCCGGCGGCAGGGGGCGAAGCCCTTACGGATAGTAAACTCTCCCTCGAAGCTCCATATTCACAGGCCTCTACAACGGTTCATTTCCACTAAGGGAACTGCCTCGTTGGAAGAAAACAATTTGAAGACATGGAAGCATGCCAAAACATTGCTCCCGGGATTCCAACGCCACGGATCAACCTGACTGTTGCGTCTTGACGATCTTGAACCGCGCCAGAACGCCATCCCTGGGACTTCAACACCGCGAATTAGCGTAATTGTTGCACCCTCATAATCCTGAGTCCTTCCAAAACGCCATTTCTGGTTTGTTGATCATGGCCATACGTGGAACCCTTTCGCAATTTTGCAAACGAATGTGCGCGGCGCTATGGTGAAGACCACATTTTGAAAACGATCCGCACTCAATCCGTGAAACTCTTGCACATAAAGAAAAAACGAACGTGCGCGGCGCTAAAGCGAGAACCACATTTTGAAAGTGACCCGCCCTTAATCCGTGAATCCTTTACATTTTGAAGCGGATGTGCGCGGCGCTAAGGCGAGAGCCACATTTTGAAAACGACTCGCCCTCAATCCATGAAGCTCTTGCATTTTTTAAACGAATGTGCGCGGCGCTAGGGCGAGCGCCACATTTTGAAAACGGCACGCCCTCCATCTGTGAAGCTGTTGCCAATTTCTAAGCTTCATGGTCATAAGTGGTGAGGGAGTCTCAAGCGAAGCGAAACGCGGGGCCCGCCCGAAAAACTGGCCTCGGGGTGCGACAGGGAAAAGTTAGTTGCAAGGAACAAACTGAGGAGGAGGCGGAGGAGGAGGAGGAGGAGGAGGAGGAGGAGGAGGAGGAGGAGGAGTCGCGCAGCGAGACGCAACTCCCGTCGCGAAGCGAAGCCCCGTACCGATCGCGGAGAGACCCCCCCCCCCTCCGACGCGCAGTCCCTGGTCGCGCAGCGAGGCGTCGCCCTCGTCGCGGAGCGAGGCGCCCACGCCCGCTGCGGATCTACATCCTCGAAGATGCAACGAATGGGTCGCGTGGTGGACAGGAGGGGGGAAGAGAGGGATGAAGAAGATGATGATGATGCGGATGCTGATGATGACGATGATGAGGAGGACTATAATGATGATGCACCTGATGATGCTGCTGCTGATGCTGCTGCTGATGATGATGATGCATCTGATGATGATGCGCCTGATGATGATGATGATGATGATGATGATGATGATGATGATGATGATGATGATGATGATGCTGATGATGATGATGATGATGCACCTGATGATGCTACTGCTGATGATGATGCTACTGATGCTGCTGCTGATGGTGTTGCTGTTATTGCTGCTGGTGATGATGGGGATGATGATGATGATGCTGATGATGATGATGATGATGAT